AGACACATATACAGATAGAATGCAGGTAACTATGTTGCTTCCTGTATGTACATGTACAGTCAGTAGTAGCTAAATAACAACCTATATCATAATGTTAGGATGAATCATTATACCCTTATCAATTTCTTAAATAATTTGTAAAGGTAAACACAATGGAAAATATGACCAAATCTTTATATGATCAAGATATYTGTCCTGATTTGCATACAACTTTGACTTTGATTTCCTCTTAAAAAATGATATTTTATCTTGAAGTTAATATGCCTTGGCTTATGTGAGAATTTTATTGGGATTCGATAAACAATATAAAATATTCATGTCTGATCTTTATTCCCAAAGATGTTTCCTGCTCATATTAATATACATAAAACATTTTGTACAAAAGTACACTCAAGAGCTTAAGTAAACAATAGATTAAATATATCTTAAAATTATTTTTAGGTTCTGAAAAGCTTAGTTCACTGTGCTGACTTGAGTAACCCTACAAAACCTCTTTTCATCTACCGAAAATGGGTAGACCGGCTGATGGAGGAGTTCTTCAGACAGGTAGGTGAACAAGCACACCAAACAGCAAGCCTCTTTGTTTGCTTTTCTTACCTAAGCTTAGCCTTGGTTTTTCCTCACATGCAGCATAGCCTTCAATCTTTGCAAAATACATGATGTAAATTACAACACAGCCCCTTTCCCTACTGCAATGATATACATGTACACGTGACTTCATTCATGAATTCCTGCCAATTTCAAAGTGTTTAACCATAATATGCACAGCTATCTTATAATAACGGATTGCAGGGTTATCTCTACAAAGTTCAGTGTTGCTCTCTGGAATAAATAACAACATGAATTAAATAGACTGTTTGCACGTGCGATAAAATGGCTGAAAAACTCTTTTCTGTTGCTAGGGTGACAAGGAAAGAGCAATCGATGGCATGGATATAAGCCCTATGATGGATAGGCATAATGCATCAATAGAAAAATCACAGGTATTTTAATTAATAAGCTTATAACATAGTTTGCACACATGCTAGCCAAACTGCGACAAAGAATGGTCAGGTTTCTGAGGAGAGCTCTCCCTCCTAGTCATCCATTTACTAATAAACTGTATTTTTAAATTGTATGATATTTAGCATAAACATTGCTTGCTACATTTCTGATGAGCATGTGCATTGTTCTAGCTACCAATTGTAAACATGTTTGATCCCTTTTGAAGAATTTCTCATTGCTGCTATGGTAGTAGAAACAAGCACATCTAAAACATATATAGCAGAAAAAAGTCTGTAATACTATTGAAAATGAGACCGGCTGTGCTTAAATCTTAAAAACACTGATAAATTATACACCTTTTACAGTTGCTTTAGACCTCAATAGCAAGTTAATTATTCTTGTTAATTGACAAATAAGACTATCACACCAATGTTTGCATTGCTCACATTCCTAAAAATTCAAAAGAATATTTAACACGCTGTCAAGGCCTAAGAGCAACTGGAAAGGTGTATTTATTGTAAATACTATTATTGTATCAGGATTGATAAGGTCTATCATGTGACCTTCTCATCCTTCCCTCATTAGACTATAACCTCTGAATGAATTATTGTCTGTTGTCAGGTTGTTTTCATTGATTTTGTTGCTCAACCACTGTGGGAAACCTGGGGAGAGTTAGTGCAACCCGATGCTCAAGAATTATTAGATACAATAGAAGATAACCGACATTGGTATAACTCCCAAATCCCTAAGAATGAGCAAGACAAAAACAATCCAGCTTCTATGAAGCGTGTTAGTTGGCAAGGGACCCGGAAGGATGCCTTCGACCAATCAGAACCAGATACATCAGGTACTGCAGCGTGACGTGTAAGTCCTCAACTGTGTCTTTCTTGGACAATTAATGACTGTACTGATAAATTAATAATAACTAATAATATTGATGATGACTGTTAGTATGTTAAACTCTAATAATCTATTAATAGCAATATGCATAAATTGTGATCATTTTGACTCATTCCAAGTATATCTAAAATATATCAAAACTTATTGGATGTCATCACCAATATTTTTTTTTGAAGTTGCCTAGCACTAGTACTTTCTGAAAAAAATATTGGCAATGATATCTTATAATTTCTGAAATATTTAGATATGCTTAAAATATAAGAAAAAAAGGTCATAACTTCTGCATATTGCTGTATTTAAAGTTAACAGATAATGTTATTATCACATGGTGAATGTACACCTTCATCATGAAAAACATACTATAAAGTTAATTAATAATTAATTGATAATAATTATTAAAAATAACAATGAAAATTCCTTCTTTTTTAGCTTTTTCATTTTCATTAAGGCCAGCATTTTTGCAAACTGACAGTGTAATAATGATAAGTTGATATTGATAATATTTTAATCATGATGATTATAACAATAATAATGATATCAGTGATAATTAGTTCAATAATAATTTATTTATTCAAAAAAAGTCAACAAATTTTATGATAGTTATTGATTCCTTTGAAAAGCCAGTATTATTGGCATTTATTATGAACTTCTCTTTATCAACTTCACCATATAATAAATAATAATTGTAATCATTATCACGTAATACCTACAACCAAACTAAACTAACATGTCTGCATTTAACTCCACAACAAAAAGACAAAGTATTGATAAATATTCTAATATGGAAATAGTCCAAAGAATTGACCAGTTGTCAAGGAAGAGGGAGGGGGAGTTTGTTGTAATTATTGACATCTTTTCTATTTAGTTGCCCATGAACTTAGATTACTAATTAAAAAGTCCAATCCATGTGCATCAAAGAACCTTTGCACATTATTTTGAACCAATAGACCATTTTGATGTTAAAATCAAAGCGGGCAACATGTTTGCTAGTCTCCTTCGCATCCGTTTTCGTATCGGGCTTCCTGTCCCTCCTGTCCTGCCCCTCTTGTTTGAGGGGAGGGACAGGAAGCAGGATGCGAAGGAGACTACATGTTTGCTGCAGGCCTCAAATCAACAAAAGTGCCAAGTCATGTCAAAATTATGACTTTTTTTCCCCAAAAAAAATTATTTTCCTGACATTGCAAAAAAAGATAAATGAACTCAAACCAGACAATTTTGGGGGTTTTGGGTTTGCCCGATTCTGCCATGCTTTGTGCAAATCCACAGGCTTCTCGCAATTTTTTTTTTCTACCCACAAAAAGCACCTTTCAACAAGATAATTAATTGTAAAACAAAAAAAAACAAAGCTGGTTCTTAGATGTGCTGGATGTGGGACTTTGAGTATGTAGAAGACCTTGTTTTGATTTTGTTTTCCCCTTGTTTCAAGTGGAGTATTACTTGCTCTTAGTATGTGGTGGATATTTAATGCTTCTTTGAGAAAACATCCCGCATTGTTTCATTCCAGGAGACAACACTCAAGACAAAAATGGCGACAAAAGAAATAATAATGTACGGCATATGAAACCTGACGATCTCCTGCATAAATGCGAAAGCAGYGGGAGAAGTTGCGAAGCGGACGATGAATACGAYGGTGACAGCTCCTTTGATTGCTCGGCAGCTGATGGCAATAATAATTAATGAATTGGGTTGTCATGGGAACTGTCAATCAACATTGAGGAACATCACAGGAATTTACGGGTACATGAGTAGAACGATGACCTATTGTGTGTGCACAGAAGGAAACAAAAAAGAGTATAATATCGGAGATGGCATTCASTGAAATATGGGACTGCTGAAATAGCTGGATTCGTTTCAGTATTTGGGATGTTGTGTTAACCATCRCCATGACAACCATTCAATGCGTCAAAACAATGCCAACAAGCCTGGTCRTTAGCACAGATTATTTTATTTAGGAAACATCGAAGGAATGAAACCACTGGTAGTGGTGCTTGTGTAGTCCATTTGTTGAAAAGTCTGTACAAACATCTGCGGAATATAAGTCTACAGAAAATGTATAATATCAATATTGGGAAGAGTTGAAAGTGCAATGTTGTTTCTACAATGAGAGGTCGCTGCAGCATTGGGGGTAATTTCCAGAGAAATCTTGATGGAGATCTGTCAATCGATGTCACTGCAGTTCGGATTACTTCTCTCCTTACCGCTGATGAACATTCAATGCTCAAGAAGAAGTCTGTTTTATCAGAAAATAAAATAGAAACAAACTTGTTATAGAGYCATATGTAAATTGTACAATCTTGTCCATAGTCAGGCCATGTAAGTATATGTTTTACAGCAAAAAGGAAGAAGCTCTTGTCAGACATTTTAGGTTGATATTAATTTATGTTTTGTTGCTGATCGTTTTGATTGTAAAAGCTCCAGTTTCATGCGYACMTATTTTGTATTAATAGTTGCCCTCATTTATGTGGAAAAATATAACTGTAAAAAGAGAGATTTTATTGCCTTCCTTGTTCACAAATCCAGAGAATTATTTATATCAAACAGTTCTGAGGCAAATAAAATGTAAGCCACAAGTATGGACCCCAGCAGAATATGAGACTGGAGTATTTTTAATCAATACTTAAAATACTTATTGAATGTTTTACAGCAGATTTCAWATGCTGGAAGAATTACTGCATGCTCACTGCCTTGACTGTGCTCATACTGTAGTGACTTTTTTATTGTTATTCAGTAYTACTGTTTAATTCGTCACTATCAAATRAAGTGCCATGTGTTGTTTGTGCAGTGATAAATGTATGTTTTTTTTCCAATATCATATGAAATCTCCCTTAGGTTGCTGTGTTAAAAGGTTGCATTCTCATGAAATGCCAATAAGATACATGTAATAAGTGTTGTTGAAGACTGTGTTAGATCCTGTTTTGYCAGTGCCTTTCGAATTGATGCTGTGAAATAACTAAGTTAGTTGTGAAATCTTGTGCATTCTACAAGTAACAATTTAGTTTATTTTTAAACTTGTATTGCTGATTTATGATAAGATATCTGGTGCAGAACAATAGASAACAAAAATTCACAAACAATGGACAAAAGCACAGTCTATAGATAACAAACGACAACACAATGGCCAAAAAGATAAAACAATGGGCAACAAAACAATGGACAAACAATGAAAGGACAATAGATGAAAAAACAAATTGCATTACAATAACCAGAAAATTAACCAATTGGGATAAAACAATAGGGAACTAAATAGTGGACAAACAATTGACAAAAGAACAATAGATGAAAACAATGGGCAATACAATAGCCAGAAGAAAAAATCAAATCATAGAGAAAAAACAATAGTCAAGAGCAAAGATGATATAGAAAATGCAAAATTGTTACTTCTACAGGATTTCATCASTTTCAAAACCGCAGCACTCAATTTGAATGTTACTCGCCTAGTATAATCTTCCTTMAATTTCTGACTCGAACTTTTGCAATAATGTCAATATTTTGTTGCATGTCATAGTGATTTCATTGCATGCAATAAGTGCATCCAGTTATCACTTCTGGCATAAGGTCCATGTATGTATCAACAGAGAGTAGTCATGCAAATATGACACCATGTAAAGACTTAAAATGTAAATATAAATATATATATACATTATACACAGAATTTTAATTTATGACTTGTTGTCGACCTAGTATCATGTCGCTTACAATGAAAATCAAGCCAGTGTCATGGAAAAGTTATTTGAATTCATCTCCCTAGCCCTCCCCCCTCAGTGATTGAAATTTTTTAAACCGTTCTCTTGAGTGCAAGTTATATGAGATGCAAATATTAAACAGTTCTGTGCATTAAATGGCAAAATGAGTTGTGGTTTATTTGTTAGGGAGGGGAGAGGAGGGAGGTCGAGTGTGGTTTATTAGGGAGGGGACAGAGGTTGAGTGTGGTTTAGTAAGGCTGATTTACACAGCACGGTTGTCTTGTGCGATTTGTAATATACSACTTGAATTGCACAGTGTAAATGCCCCTACGACTTGTCTACAACAGTCGTATGCAACCTACGACTTGTAGTAGGATTTTGAACCACTKCTTAAAATCCTACGATTATCGTAGGAAAATCGTATACTACAAGTTGCGYGTGGTGACAAATCGTGCCGTGTAAATCAGCCTTTAGGGAGGCGAKGGGAGGGAGTTCAAGTGATCTTCTAGGCCTAGTGTTCACATGATCATCCCAATAATCATCTTAAATGAATTTCTCCATTGATCTAGTTTCCTCAAGAGATTTTAAAGATGGAAAAATGCATTTTGGAATGGTTGGGGTGATTATATGGTCAAGTTCAGGCTGGTTGACAAGTTGGAAAGGTGTCTCTTCCTTTTAGCCCGCAATAAACCTGTTAACTGCAAGCCATCTATCTTTCCGGTGTTCTCTYGAGTCTGGTAATTCCCATTCCATCCCTTGAGTGGAGTGAAATATAGAGTACAAACACTAAAACTGTGCAACATAAATACAACTAAATACTGCTAAATTATGCTAATTCTATTGTTTAATCAACACTATTTTGTACTAAATAGTGTAAAGTATTGCACACATTTAATGTTTGTACTCTAACTAAAAAGCTCTTGCATGCAGTTTAGTAAATAATGGTGTTTAAACTTGGGTGCTCTGCTTGCAAATATGCAATTTCACAAATTTTAAATTGTGTTCACTTTACATRYGGAACCTGACATAATTCACAGTTTAATGTATRRCACATTGGTATGGCGTATACTATTTTTATTGACATGAACATTTTGAGGATCTTTGATAATTAAAAAGAACGTTGGGTCACAAAAAGGTGATATCATCAAAGCTAACACCGAATTTTAGAATTCATAAATTGGAATCATATTATTTTGCCTAAATATGTTACATAATGCAATACTAATAGAGAAGGTTATTTTATTCAGTGCAAGTAATCTTTGAGCACTGAAACACTGTAGTTATACTCATAATATTTGCTCAGGGTTCCCAGGGTCAGGGAAAAGTCTACGTCAGTGAAATTTGAATTTTTTTCAAGGTCAGGGAAAAGTCAGGGAATTTTTGCCAAATTTTTCCTGATCTTTGCACAAAAAAAAGTGATTTCACTTCTAAATGGTCCGTGCTTCAGCAAGCTATATTTATAGGACTAAAGATATTCTTGTCACCTGGTCATTGAAAAAGGGTTTTCAGTCAGTGAAAGTCAGGGAATTTTACTTTTAAAGWTGAGTGGGAACCCTGTTGCTTTCCAATCCTCCCCGTTTTGATCTTTAGCTTTGATGATGTAACATTAAGGAACCCCACTTCATTTTTTCAATATGTAGGTGTGTATAAATGACTCAAATTAAATAAAAATTGCATTGATTCATCTCTAGCTGCGAGAGAGCAACATCTGGGAGAAACTTTTAATCTTTTCTGCTCCTCTGACTTCATGAGTCAGTAGAGGTAGGCATGTGATATTGAAGTCTTCATAAAGATCTTGGATCTATAAAAAATATTGCAAGGTGTTAGAATGAAAGGTAAGCATCACCCTTTTCCATGATTTTCCATCTACCATGAAAAGAAATAAAAAATGGGAAAAAACTTTTAGTAAATGCTATTCATGCACAACAATCTTATGGTGATTCCAAGGATGTCCACTTCAGTTGTTTTGTGCCATTTTGATTTTGTAAAATTTCTCAGATTAAATGCATTCACTTTTTTTAAAATCATTTTCATGTCACAGTCAACAGAAAACCACTCACAGTTTAATTCTATGTTTTTTGTACCTGGTCTAGATATTTCTTTTGTATTCTGTGTCTTGATTCACATAATAGACATTCTGAAAACATAAAAATCAGAACAGATTAATATAAAATTGGCAGTGGAGACCAGGACAAGGRCTAWTCCAGGGWGATRCAAAGGKATGCTGYAGCCCCTCTTAACYGGAAAAGTTAACCAWTTCAATGTTTTTTATAGCTCAAATAAAGCCCATTAAYACCCCCTGAAACCATTYACCCACCCAAARTATTCCCTAGAGGGGTAGGGTTGGTACTTACCTTGGTYCTTACTAGGATAAACCAATTGGTTAACTATGATATTATGGGTGTCTATATCAGCTTTTGTTAGTTCCTGTACAAGYCGTTCTGTTTCATATAGCGATAGAAATTCAGCAATACAAACACAAACAAATGTAGTGTGCTCCTATGAAAAGACAAAAAAAACCTGTAMGTTATCCAAACAAAAACCAGGTACATATTGATGGTTTTCAACCATTCCCATGAGAGTGAGCAAAACAAAAAGGTCCACCAGTCGTGCGGTGGTGGTTTTCTTTTGTCAGGTCCACCAGCAATGTCGGACATCTTTTGTTTAACTTTCTCTCCTGGGAATGGTTGAAAACCATCAATTAAAGGTACAATATTTTATCAAAAGGTACTAATTTTCATTCAACAAATTGAAATTGCCACTAAAATAATATATTTAAATGTGTGAAATTTTAGACAGCATTCCTTCATTGCTCAAAGTTTTTTGCTTTGGAAATGACACTAAAGGGAATCATGTTCAAGACGAGTTCACACAGGCACTGAAGCACTTGCGCTAAATGATATATGATTTATATAATATGAAATGGTTAATACATCATGTAGTTAAGTCCAACCAGGCCCTGAGGTGACATTTTGGAGGTAGTCACTATGTGAACTCCCTCAAGATGTAAGAAATGGAAAAAAAGTCTTCAGAGTATTAGCCAGGCTAACAATGATAGCTTATGGCATACTTACAGGGTTTTTAAACTGTTCACTGACTTGTCTTATCAATGGTAGCGTTTCTTCTAGTTTACTTGTCATTTGATCAGCATTCATATCATGTACGCCAAGTAGAGCACCAAACTAGTGATAATAATTATATATTACAGTATCTATAACTTATTATAGTTATAATTATAGTATACATGTATAAAAGGTAATATTACTTAAGGTATAATATTGATTTTTTTAAAAGGATACTGCATTTAAATCAGTTTGATAAGTAAAAAGACTGGAACAGTAAATAGTCAATGCACAGCTATATGTGACACCATTTWGTACAACAAGGCATGATGGGAGTTTTAGTCCTGACACTAGAAAAAAAATCTCCCTAAAAGCTGTTTTTTTTATGTTTTCTTTATAGAAACTGCATGACTACTTTTATCTTTGCAAAGAAAAAACAAAAATGTCTTTGCAGGGGTATGTTACAGAAATAAAAAAGTAATTCAAGAACATCCTTATGATGCTTTATTGCACAAAATGACTATTTAGTGCACATTGCCTATTAAATAAGTAGTCCCCTGACCCAGGTAACAACAGTAACAATTCATAAAATTCCATACTTGTGATACAAAAGGTCCAATGCTGTTCTTGAGAGAGAGGATCTTTCCAAGGGATTTTTCGATAATAGAAGGGAATGACAGCAGCCTTAGAGTATGTCCTGTYGGMGCTGTATCAAATACAACCACTGAGAAATCCATGTGCTTGACAAGTCTAGAAAATAGAGATGTCATTACAMAGTAAGATAACAATCTTTCATCAAACAGACAATGATTTTCTGGTTGACAAATGATTACTAAAATCTCATGCCATATATGTTCTGCGATTACAGTTTACCCACCTCATAACTTCAGCAAAGCTCATAGCTTCATCAATGCCAGGAAAAGCCCCAAGTAAATCACCAATCATAGCCCTTCCCATGGACATCATGTCTGAGATATAGATTATAATCAATATATTATCAGCTAAACTATCCAATAGGCAGCTTCCTAGCATGTGATTTTGTACAACAAAGCATGAATGGGAGTTATAGTTCCTTTTATAGGCCCTGGAAATTAAATCTGTATGTAGAATTTAAATAGAAATTCATAAAACATATTACCAGGAGTATCAAAGTAGTCTTCAGGTAAATTTGTGAAGCCCAAGTTTGGATCTATTTCCTAAGGATCAATACACCAACAAGTTGGTTAATTCGAATTAGACATTTAAGGGTGCTCTATAATATTTTTTTATAATTTATATACCATTGCGTAGAGGTTCTGGAATCCCTTAACAAGGGTAGGAACTTTACCAAACTTCTGATCAAAAGCATCAGATATATTATGGGCTGGGTCTGTTGATATTATGAGTACATTGTGTCTGACTTGGGCCAGCTGAACGGCTATACTGCAACTAAAAGAATTTACAAATGTCAAAATTTTGAGGGATTGATGTAGAGGTCTCGCTCTCTTGTACGCAAGTCTTAATAAGTTTTTACGTTCTGGCATAACATAAATATGCATCCCGACTCTCTCTTTTTTTCAATATTATCGGGGGAAAAGGGAAATTCTCCTTTTTTTCGGTTTCAATAATTAAGCATGCGTTCTTCCGTTTTTCTGGTAAATAGAGGAATATAACAGCTGTTATCCACTCTGAACTCGAAAAAGAAGGAAATACCACGGTAATACTTGTACACGCATTAGTTATTACTTGATCTTATAACTTTAAAAGATTGCTGGCATCGAAGCTTGATCACAAAATCTGATCATTGCAATATCTGAACATTTACATAAATTCATTTATTTTTTTGAACTAGTCTTATACAAACCTGCAAGTTGTTTTACCAACACCTCCTTTACCGCCAACAAACACCCATCGTAGCGACGTCTGATCTACGATGTTTTTTATGCTGGGTTCAAGCGACTCAAGCTCAACATCGTTCGTCGCCATTTTGATTTTACTTCTGAAACGAAATACACAGGTATCCCGTGACAAGTTATATTGAAATTTGTTTTGAAATAATCAAAATCAGGTGTAATTAAAAAAATGCACTGTAAAACATTACTTCAATCTTTAAGTGGGCTTTTACATCCATTCTTTGATAAGAAATACTGAAAAAATAATAAAGTTCAATAGCTTTTGGTCCTCCTGTGGTACCACTGCCCAGCATGAGCTGTGGGCTCATTTTACAAATGGCGGACGATCATCAAAAAAAAATGTTGAACTTTAATTTTCTGTTTTTATAACCCAAAATGTGTGGTATTTTCTTTTGTATTTATACGGAAGGAAAGTGCTGCAAAAATGTTGAAGTAGAGGTGAGATTTAAAAGTTAATTTTGTGCTTATTTGTTCGTCATTTTCAACTATAGTTGAAAGTTTAGAGATACTCAGGTGTTTACTGGTAACAGGCAATGTTTTAACAATTATTATTCCTTATTCGTAGGCCTTAGTGGATTCTGTAATACCTTTGGTTGCAAAGAGAGGACCAGATTGCTTAAAGACAGAAGAAAAACTAATTTTTGATCATAAAACAAGCAACGATATAAAGCTGAACTTAACTGGCTCTGTGCTTCACCTCAGAGGAGACCTAACGCCACAACCGCTACGAGATAGAACGGGAAATGCTTTGCTTTGGAATGGAGAGGTGTTTGGCGGTGTATTGGTGAGATTCCTGTCTTCAGCAAGTGTTTTAACAGCTTAAAAATAAGCATAATTACAAATTGATTAATAATTTATATTTCCAACAGATTCCAGATAGTGATAATGACACGACAATAATATTCAATCTACTTGGAAATTGTTCCGATGTCCAGTCTGTCTTATCASTAATATCAAGTATACAAGGTCCTTGGGCATTTGTCTATTACCAGGCAAGCCAGGAAAAGCTATGGTTTGGACGTGACTTCTTTGGCAGGAGGAGTTTGGTTTGGCATTTACCAACTGATGAGGAAGATATCTTTGTTGTGTCATCTGTTGCACAGCGGAATTGTCCAGAAATTATTAAAACATGGGTAAATTATTACTTATTTATCATATTTGTTTTATTTATTTTGCTTTTTGCTTTATATTCCGCATACCCAGATCTTCCCCAATAAATTTKATTTTCTGTTGGTGGGAAGACTGAAAATGATCTGTGAATGAGAATGGTTTTTCATCTTTGTTTTTTTCACTACCTCTCTCCATCCATTCATTTGTTCAATCTTTCTTTCCTACTTTTCAGTTTTGGGAAGAGGTTCCAGCTAGTGGAATATATTGCCTGGAGTTCAACCCAACAAAGGATGACTTTGAGCACGCTGTGGAATCATTCCGATTTCATTCACTCTYACTAAAACAATATTCCTGGATGTCAATTGAAACTATTAACAAAGATATGTACAGTCTAAAAAGGCCAGTTTTACCATTCAACAAACAGCTACCAACGGAATTGGATATAAAAATTTTGGATGAACATTATAGTAATCTTAAATTAACAGCGACAAATGGACTTAAAGATTTAGACAAATCTTTGCTACTTRCAAATATCAATCATGACAATTTATTAAGAACTTCACAAAGCACAACAAATAATAAAAGTGAACTTGGGTCATGTGGAATGGAGTGCACTATAAAAGTTACTAAATATGAACCTGCTGAGGGTACTTCAACTAGTTTCTCTGAAACTGCTAAAAATGAAGAGTTAGACAATGTTTTGTTGAATGCAAAAGGCAGTAATGAGAGCCTACCAAGYATTYCAGATTCGAAAACCATGGTAACAAAAGATRTTGAAGTTGATTCATCCAGAGAACGARGTGTTCAGGTTTACAAYGTTGAGACTCTAAGCACTCTTTGCAGCAAAACCATTTCAAMTTCTAACACTTATGACATGTCTTCTCTGAGGCATGAAGTGACCAGTTATCATATCTCAAGAACTCAATACCTGGATAATTTACCATATGTTCTGATTGATATACTTGGAGARGCTGTAAGAAAGAGAGTCTTGAATTTACCAAGAGGGGAAATCMRACAMAATTCTGACAGGGAAAKGCATTKTACAAATGAAAGACAGCATTCAAGYCTTCAAGTAGGRTGCAMGCAGYSGAAGGAATGCAGTGGTTTTAAGCATGCAAGAGTAGGGATTTTATTTTCTGGGGGAATAGATTCTATTGTTCTTGCTGTTCTTGCAGACAGGTACTGTTGTTTGTGAATTTAATATTTAATAGGATTTATGCATCATCTTCAACTTTTTTATTTGAAAATCTTTCAGAAGAAAAATAGATAAATACATGTATGAATGGGATTTGATATAAGAAAAAATAACTGACACAGCATTTATCTGAAAGAAATCTCATTATCCGTAGCCCTAAATCCATATGGTGTATTTAATGTTTTTTTTTTTTCTTGCGTTAGTCATCCCACTTTGTACCATTCCAGATCCACCAACTGTTTAATTACAGCATAATGCAAATAAAATTTTGTTTAGGTATGTTCCTGATGATGAATCCATTAACCTAATAAACGTTGCCTTTGAGCAGAAGCAGCCTAAACCAAACCCCACTAGCAAACGAAAACCAAAACACAGCGATACTAGTGACAAGAATCCTAGTTTTAATGTCCCTGATAGACTTACAGGAATATCTGGACTGAAAGAACTTGAAAAGATAAACCCACAAAGGCAGTGGAATTTTATTGAGGTACAATATTGTAAACCATTAACAGCTCAGGAAGTATGTAGACTCCTCCACAGTCACCACTAGAAGTTATGGGCTTCCTGTCTTTTTTCAGTGAGTCAACCAGTAATACAGCACCAATCGAAACCTGCTTTTTGATTGCTGCTTTAAGCTTACTTAAAAGTACAGCAGCTCTATTGTTAGGTTAGGTTTTGTTTTATTGTTGAAGACTTATCTATTGTTTGTCCATTGTTTTCTCAACCTATCATGAGACCCGTTCCGATTCATGGTGCTGACTGGCCCAAGACAAAAGTCAAAATGACCACTACAAAGGAAGCCCAAAGGAGAAAAAAGAGTTGCTTTGTAGGAGGCTGGAAAAAGCAGTGTTAGACTGATCTTGTTAGCACCTATCTTTACTAACCCAGGCTGAAATTTTGTAAAGTCCCACATACATCTGAGAATCTTTGCATGATTTTCTCAATTACAAAAATATAAACTTTATCTTTGATTTTGAACTGATCAGAATGCGACTTTTAGCCTCATGTCATTTTTGAGACAGAGCAAATGATCTCAAGAGTTCTTGGGTGATTGTGGGTCTTTTGTAAAGTATAACTTTAAAGTTCTTTTCTGAAAAATCTTTTTAGGTTAATGTTACATTAAAAGATCTTCAAACGGAAAGGTAATTTGCATTTTGTATTAATGTCAATGAGTTGGCAGCTACAATAGGAAAATAATACTCCACAATAAAACAACAGATTATCATATTTCCTCATCAAAAAAAATTGTTTTGGCACAGATGTGAACATATCACCCACCTCGTGTCCCCCCTGACATCAGTTCTAGATGACAGCATAGGATGTGCCTTGTGGTTTGCAGCCAAGGGGAGTGGTACATTAAGGTGTCCTTCTTGTATCAMTGAAGTTGATTCACCATGTGAGCATCCTGACTGTTATACCAGTATGGCCAAGGTAAGAACTGGACTGATCACAAGGTATTCATCTTTGTCAGTCTGTGCCTCCTCAGARACAGTTTTTTGTCTGCCTGTGCATTGCTACTGTCTGCATACCGTTGTCTATCTCGGACGTTTGTACCCAGTTGTTGCTTGTCTTTTTTCTCTGGTGCGTGCAAAGGATAAAGGGAAGTCGAAAGAAAAAGTTACGGTTTTTCCCTGTCAACTTAGTTCGGTAGCTCCCTTGATGCAATGCAACACATTAAACAAGCAAGAGAAACGACTGGGTACGAGTCTATGTCTATCTCTTGTTGATGTGTCTCTCTGTCTGTAACAGGCTAAAGTATGTCAATCTGTCTGTTTATCTGCATTTCTCTGTCTGTTCCTTTGTTTGTCTTATCTGCTTCTGTATCTCTTACACAATTCTATTGCACTTTAGGTACTTCTTGTTGGTATGGGAGCAGATGAACAACTTGGAGGTTATGCAAGGCACAGAACAATGTTCAAGTAAGTTAGAATATGAAAATCAGCAGATGACGGTTAGTTTTCTAACGTTAGATTTGGCATATYTTTGAACCTTGAAATATAAAACGATTAGTGGATGGATTGATAGGGTGATTGATGGACTGATTGATTGATGGATGGATGGATTGATGGATTGATTGATTGGTTGATTGATTGATTGAATTTAATTGATTGATTGATTGAATAATGGATTGATTGATTCAATAATTGATTGATTGATTGAGTGATGAATCGATTGATTGATTGATTGATTGATTGATTGATTGATTGATTGATTAGTAAATCAAAATCCTGATTGAATTAATTGACGAACAATCTATTTTCTTTCAGCAAAGAAGGATGGTTAGGTCTCGTCAACGAGATGGAAATGGAAGTCAGYCGTATTTCTCAACGTAACCTTGGTAGAGATGACCGCTGTATTTCAGATCACGGGCGCGAGGCACGCTTCCCATTCCTTGACGAACAAGTTGTATCATTCTTGAGTGGGATCCCTGTGTGGCTTAAGGTAAATTACTCTGCTCTAAGTTCCCATACTGATGAAGCRYKMGCAMSAKCWMSMTMT